TCCCAAATGGAGCTGATTAAGCTTCAATGCGATACGATCCTTAAAGATATATACTACCACTACAATAGTAATTTAATTTTGTTTATCAAGGTGTTAAGCGGCAAGATTTTGCCAAAATTCTTGCACTGGCCTTGGAAACTTGCTCCATTATTCGGTAGAACGTACTTCTGTGAGCAGATGTTTTCTATAATGAATTTGAACAAAACTAAAAACAGGTCTTGTCTGATGTGTCCTTAGAGGCGATACTCAGAACTTCACTGCTCAAGCCACTGTACCGAATATTAGAAAACTTGTTGAATCGAAACGCTGTCAAAGATCATCTTAAGAATAAATGTGTTTACGTCGAAATTATGAACAATATTTTATCACCCGCGCGTTGACTCGATCAGACCAATTCAAATGTCAATACGAATGTCACCACTCATCTTCCGCTGGGGCTGGGAGCCGGCGAAATTAAACTTTATCGCGAATTCGACTAAACTTGGTAATAATATGTATTTTTTAAGTAAATGAACAAAAAGGGCTTGGAATGCCGATGAAAGTACCTGTCATATCGACCTGAAGATACAACGTGACGGTAGGATTTTACATAACCTATACGTATATCAACAGTCATGACGTTTCATATTCATTTTACATATACTTTCAAACATCTAGCAGCCTGGTGTCAAACTGGCAGACTCAAATGAGCTTTTAAATGTAAGCATGAACCATACAAACAGGATGTATTATTTTATCTATTTGCATTGCCTGCTATAGCTTTCAGTCGGTACGACAGAAACTTCTGGCGGAAATCGGTTTGTCATACCATGTTTTTCCAAATGAGCCTAAAATTTCCATCAAACCTTGTAGGCTTCATTGGATTCGGTGAAATTCTCTTGTCACTCTGTATCTTTAAGTCGGTATGACAGGTAATTCTGGCAGGATGATCATTTACTTAAAAACTACATATTACTAAATTTAGTCGAATCCGCGATACTCAATGCCACCAGCTCCCGGGTCATTTCTATTCGCAGGGGGCTACGGTTAGCACAACACCTTCCTCGCGATGCGTATGCCGCTGCCTAATCCCTCCCCCACCTTCACGGAGTCACCCTGCAGCACTGTGCTGCGAGCGGTGCTCGGCGCTGCACTGGTGGCACCATTGGCACCCGAGTTGGAGAGGCGTGTCCGAGACGATGGTGGCAAACGCAGTTATATACCAATAAATCAGCACACCGTTGCAACAATTTGATAGCGGAATTGAAATTTCAACAAGTAAGTGGACATTGCAACAAGGATGTCTCCGACAGACTTTGAATATCTTCTCACGTTGATTGGACCAAAAATACGACGACAAGATACAAAATGGAGAGCTACCATCACAGTACAAGAAAGACTTGCAGTCACGGTGCGATTTTTAGCGACCGGTGATTTACACAGTAGTTTGCAGTACATCTTTCGAATTTCAAAGCAATCGATCAGCTACATCATTCCAGAAGTTTGTGGGGCATTGATGGAAGTTTTAAATGAAAATATACAAGTAAGAAAAATAATTATTTTACATTTCAAAATAACACACTGGTGCTCGCCGCACCGTTATGTGTGTCCAAACATGTGCAACTTCGTCGCGAGCCATTCCTTTGATGTTGCGCTGAAAAATCGGTAGATCCTGGACCGGGCCGAACGGCGAACTGTTAACGCTAATTAGGTTCGCGACGGCGTTCTTTTCACTGTCTACACTAGCGCGGCGCGGTTCGTCGCTTGGTCGGTTCGCGGTGTTGTTTCATGACTTAATAATTGATGAATACTCTTTTTTACATTATTTTTATATCTGGCACCATTTTAATTTCTTGAGGCAACTTATTGTATATTTTAGTACAACTGTAATGGATATTTTTTTCGGTAACCGCGATATAATGACTGGATACAGAAGACTTATACGGTGAAATCTCCTTTGGGCGGACACCAGACCGACTGAAAATGTCCGTTCAAGAGGGGTATGCGTATAAAAGAAATACAACAAAAATCGACATTTAAAACGTGTATGTATATAAATGTTTATAAAATAAACAAAAAAATTAATTTGAAAAATAAAGGTTTTGTTACCTTTAGATATATATAAAAAGGATGTACATACAATCAAAATCACGAAAGATGACTATTACGTCATACCATAAATTGTACTGAAGTAATCAATGGACGTACGTCGATGATAAAATCACGATGTCGGGAACATAATGACAAATGTATTTTATGATTTCGCGAAGTTAGGTTATTTCACTGATCATTTTATTTTCATTTTATTTAATGGTTTGAGTGATACCTTAATAATAATTTTAGTGGGGAGTTTTTGTTCTGAAAAAACAGTTATAGAGTAGAATACCTTAAAACAGGAACACCAAAGACCAAGTATTATTTGAAAACAACCTAACCTGCTTTAACATAACTATTCATCTTTCAAATATGATCGATCACGCAACATGAAAACATCGTCTATCTTTGTCGGATACATGGAAATTAGGAATACAGTTTGTTTATACAATAAAATTCTGTTTGTCTCTGTCTAACATATCTGAAACTGCATTAAAAATAGTCACAAATCGCTGTCGTTTATCTTTACTATAGACTAAAATGATGACGTAATCGTCATCTTTCGTGATTTCGACTATATGTACAATATTTGTATAATAAGCACGTACATATAGTATGTATGTATGTGTATACATATGTATATGTAGTTGTAGTAACACAAAACAATGAAATAAGAAGTCACTTTAAGGACACAAACATTCATATATTGTCGTTTGTCTCCTCTTTTTATTCAAAATAGCGTCTTGAAATCGTATTTCTAATTAGAAACGAGCTCGAAAGACTCTGTATTTCCCTGATTTTCGACAATACTTTTGAGCTGCTTGGTCAGGGTAATAGCTTTACCATAATTTGGAATAGCTTCTGTTGGTACTGGAACCTCACTGACATTAGAATCTTCGAAAATTTCTTGTGTTTCAACTGGATTTTCAATTTCTTGAATCTTTCATCTAGGTTCAAAAAATAATAAAGGTTTTCATTGTCAGTCAATTTCAATAAATCCTTATTTTTTATATTTGAAAGTACATTAAGTGGTAAGGTGGTTAAGTGGTTCATGCTTAAATCCTGCTTAACTGAAGCAGTTTTGCACTGTGCGTCCAATGACGTAATTTTCTTCATTGACTCGATGTTCACTAGCAGGTGTTTATTAATTAGATTTCGGTAATAAGTACAATTAAGGGTTAAAAATAACATTTTCATATTATTTAAGCGAATGTATTTTGGGATGAGATAATGCATTGTCTAAAAATAACAAAATGGTTCTTTATTCTTTAGAAATTTTCCATTCTAGGTCTTGCAACCACTCTGTCATAATTTGTCTTGTCATCCAAGCTTTCTTATTGCTTTTACAGTTACAGGCAGGGCATTTCTGTTAATGTTTTTAAAAGCTCTGAGCTTAGCTGCCTTACCAATAACTAGGAGTTTTTCTTTTTAACCCGCCATATTTACACAGTGCGAAATTGTAAACCTATCTTTGGTATACTTACCCCCAACACACTTCCTTCTTTAATGTGAGTGTTTTGTCGGGTAGAGCCCTTTAGGGCTGTATTTTAATACAGGCCTGTCTCAGTGGCATTATAGATGTCTCTCGGTGAGTATCCCTTGATCAAAGAAGAGAATATTTACACAGTGCAAAATTGTAAACCTATCTTTGGGATACTTACCCCCAACACATGTTTCCTTCTTTAATGTGAGTGTTTTGACGGGTAGAGCCCTTTAGGGCTGTATTTTAAGACAGGCCTGTCTCAGTGGCATTATAGATGTCTCTCGATGAGTATCCCTTGATCAAAGAAGGGAATTGTCTTAAAAACGATGAAACATCTTCAGCATTAACAAAGGCTCCTTCTCCTCAAGAGAATGTCCGTCCAAGAGAGAGTTAATACAATGTAAATTATATGAGTGTCGGTCGGGATCATGAGAAACTGTCCGTGTAAGAGAGGTTTCCACAAAGGGGAATTTCACTGTATCTCAATTTCATGTGTTATAATCACTTCGTGGGTTACCGATAAAGTTGTCAATATCTTGAATATACCTTGCGGCTACAGTTAAAATTTTATTGCTATGGAATTTTCCTCCACAAGTTTCTCCAGAGGCAATTTTTCGAATTTATCTCAGCAGTCGCTTCTGCACTAGAAAGATCCTATTGGTATGGCTAGCATATCCAAGATAAATTATGCCAAAACGTGCAATGGGCGCAAAATTCGCGTAATTTACCATTTTTAGTGTAATATGCTTAGCCGAGGAGTGCTTGGTCAATATAAACTCCTAAGAATTTTCCACAATCTGTCAGCAGGACTTCTACTCTTTGGGCAAAAAGGATGTTTGTAGGTTTTTTAGCTTAAATACAATCGCATTTGTTTTTGAGGTATTCAGGGATAATCCATTACGATCAAACCACAAAAACGCTTTCTTGTATAGGCTCAAAGTACTTCCAGCTACATGGTTAAAATGTTGGCCAGATATCAGTACACAAGTTTCATCAGCGTATTGATTCGTGCATACATTATTTGGGCTTGTAATACTAGCACTCAGGTCATTCACACAAATTAAAAAGAGTAGAGGTTCTACATAAGACACTATCTTGTGGAATACTTCTTTCTATCGTTAACTGTGATGAAACAGCTAATATTCCATTAGTATTAAATTACTTGGCTGTATCTAAGCAGCAGCACTGTTTCTTGGAAAAGTAAGTCAATTTTAAGAATGAGGGAACCCTTCAAAAACACATATACCATACTCTTAATATCACTAACAGTAAATGAAATAACACAGAGCAAATCACTGCACCGAGTAATGGTACTCGGCATTCAAATCTGACCAAGCACCCGGTACTCGGCCGTTTGAAAGAAACACTACTCGGTTCATCAATAACAATGTTCGCTAAACTGATAAATTCAGGAGCGCTTTGATCTGATAGATTGCTTTGTTTCCAGATCAGTCCAAGTTCCGTGTCAAGCAGTCCGGGCAGCATGGGTGCCCACGCTGGTCAAACAGGTGTAACCCGAATAATCAGTATCAGTCCTTCGCGCAGTCAGTCAACATCTCCACTGCGCCCCAGCGTAGCCAATCAGTCCATTGTCAATGTGCTCACTTCAAAGACCAGACCAGGCACAAATGTGCGACTCCAGCTTTTCTCTTCCTCTGGAGATGGCCAGATGGGGCAAACTACTAGTGCCACTTTGTCCCCTAGGTACAATTAATTAATTACCATTAAATATATGGTTTTAAAATTTTAGTCATTTTTTTTTGAAGTAGTATGTGTAATTGTGTTATAAACCCAAAAATACGCGAATAGTTCAAGTTGATGAAATAAGAATAATAAATAAAGTAGACTTGATATACCATGTTTTCAGTGTTAGGGTGTGGTACAGAATGTCATCTTCCAGGGTTCATACATCTCTAGCCACATGCCATGGTATAAACAAAGCAGATGCCTTCGATGCATATAAATAGACCATTATCGTTAAAATTCAGTACCTCCGCCAATGTGAGGTGTCGGTAAAATCTGCCATTCCTTAATAAAATTGTCTCCTATCTCATTTTTAACCCTCCTATGCCTGCGCAAATTTTTGTTACACCTATACCCGCGCGCGGTGTCAGCCCGAATGTTTGGAACCCTGTTCTATATTTTCATAAATCAACACCTGTGTGAATAACAGCAACATAAGTGTCTCGCACAAACGCACAGAGTACGTACACTAAAGTGAAAAGTCAGCAACAAACCAGGCAGCTAGCAGAAATCTTGATTCGTCAGCGTTTCCAGGAAAATAATAATACTTGAGTGTTTCGTCGGGTTCAGAGACCAATGCGCGGGTATAGGAAGGTTAAACAAGAGAATTGTTATAAACTTGAAAATGTGCATAATAAAATTTTTCATTGCCGCCCCAGCTTCCACACCTCAGATCACACTGCTATCCCAGGAACTCGATCCCTGATTTTGCCTACACTACTGCCATGGTGATAGGTATGTCCTGGCCGTCATTTACAAACAGTTTCCAACCATCATTTGACCAAGTTAACATTAAATGTGCATTTTGGGCTCGTTGCCAGAACACCCCTATATAGCTAATATATGGGTCCGCGCCAGACGCATACCGCATGATAGCCAGCCTGATAGTTGTGATCACATTGCCCTCCTAGGTTCCCACCTGCAAGAGTGCATACTTTTTTTCCAAGGACCAACTGCTTTACTGCTAGCTCCTTACCAGCCAGTACTGATTCTGTCTGCAGTATTGCCACATAACTTAACATTCACTTCTTACTCGAAGCTAGCAGCAAAGCTCATGCCAGTTTAGCCTACAAAACATGATGTTGGGCCCATTCCTTTTTCGGCGAGAATGCCTACCCCAGGCAGTCCTGGGCATTGCTGATCTTGCGCGCTGCCATCAAGTTGCAATGCCTCGGCATGATACAGCTCCGTTCAGATTATTCTAGTGACACAGACGAGGTGTCACCTGGTAGACTGATAAAATATATTGTCTTCAGAATTGTCAATCGAACTTCAAAAAGGCCACCATGGTTACCGAAACGTCGTTGTTAGTAAATAGTATTGTACCCCACCAAAAATACTTGGATAATTCAAGTTAATGAAGATATTAACAGTCGCGTACTTATACCGAGTATAGAGCATTTAGGTGTTGTACCCTTCTCTAGGCTTGTAGTACTGATCCTTGTCTCTCTTGACAATTTGACAAAATATAAATAAACTGTGTTTTAAAAAAGTATGAGTCTATTAGGAAGTGTTTGTGGGCAGAGGTGGAAAATATGTGTAAGAGGGGAAAGGTGAAATATGCATGTTATTAAACCTAAGTGGTCATTCCTGATGGATTTTATTGTACAAGCAACAGGAGTTTTTAGTCCGTACCGAAAATTGACAAGAATTGTCGTAAATTGTGCGATTTACGAGCGACTTTTGAGCATCAAGAAATGTGATCCTGTTACATTGAAGTCTTCAATAAGACACGATATTCAAAATGTTGAACAAATCTCGATATTTTAGTTGACGCAAAGACATGTATTTATTTATGTGCTAATAATCTAGGTGTTGTAATTGTCATTTCAAGAAGCTCGAGCCCATATAAGTATGTACCTGCCTCATTATTAATAATATTCCTCAAGGTCATTACAGTTGAAATGGTAAAAAATGTTTCGCACTTATTCTGTTGTAAATAGACAAAACGCGTATATTCTGGAAAGGGTATTTATGACAACGTTACAGAAACTAAAACGCCTACAGCAAAAAACATTTCATTGCTGATGTCCGGTTATGTATGCTAATTTATATATAGTGTGTCGTATGTCAATTTTGCCAAGTGATACTGTACTAAAATCGATATTCCACATATTAAATAGAATAAATAAATGAAAAAATACGTTTATTATAATAAATCTTCGCAGGGGGTTAAAGCGGCCGCCAACTTCGTCCGGCGAAAAGAAGGACAGTTACGCGTCGAAGCTACAACGGGTGATGAACCATCGGATCGTGCGGTCGAAACTGGTGAAGGAGAAGTACAACGAGCATTTGCTGGAGGCGTACTATCTGGAGACGGGCAGCAACATCCTAGACCTGTATCAGTTCGCGAAAAAGCCGAAGACGCAAGCATACCTGGCCTACCTGCGCGACCACGCCATCGACCCGAAGGAGTACCAGCAGCAGGAAACCTCTATGGAGGTGACGTCCACTGTTGGGGTTACTGTACCTATGACTACACCGGGTACGCCGAGTGCCACGGCAGCGAGCTCTTTGCCTGGCATCTCGCACGCCACCAGGTAAAATAATCTTTTACTTTTTAAATATCAGTTAAATAAGTGAGCTAAAGAATTGCGAGAGAGATGGTACTATTCAATTCTAAAATTTAACGTCATATTCCTATTTCAAATATATATTTTTTTTATATAATAGCTGCTATTTTTAATAGACAATGCGAAATCGACGGCACCGCTGAAAAGATCTTGTTACTAACGTTATTTCCTAGTTACATCTTTAAGCAGTACTAGCACAAAGACTTAAAATGTGCCCAATGTGAAAAGTCGTCAAAGTTAAAAGAAACTTAGTTTAATAATGAAGAATGAACGTATAATTTCATTCAGATTATTTCGATAGTTGAGAAGCGAAGTGTCCCTTTGCCCTATTCAAATCTTCTTTACGCCCCGTCAAAACAGACACCGGCGCGCAATCTCTCAATTTGCGACCTCTTATTGGCCAGCCATCCAAACATCTCGGCACACAGTAACAGGCAAATAGATAAATCGATGAAGCTTTAGGTTTATCGCGAAATAAATGAGGTTTGAATAGCGTATAGGAAGTTTTCTTGACCTTGATCGTCTCCAAGTTGAGATTATGATTTCTAAAAGGAAAAAATGGCCATGGTGCTAAAAGGTGTATAACATCTATTATCCCTGAGGTCGCCAAATGACTAAACTTAAACTCAAATTAGTAAGTAGTACAGGAAGGGATCAATTGAGCGGGATACTCTATCGTATAGATCTGAACTTATGGCTGGCAGGAAGTGCCTGGCCGTGCTAGATATTTAGAAGTTCATTCCTATTTTTAGTTAAGTTTCTCATCTGATACCTGAATATCTGCTGTCTATCCAACTTAATTGGTGTACAGGCGTTCAAAGTAGATATAAACGGAACTCTTTGCCCCACTTTTGTCTTCTGTAGAATAAAGTATGTCTGGCAGTCCTGATATCTTGGACTATTATGAATCTGGACGTTAGGCAGCGGCCATGATGTCAAATTCTCTTTTTCGAACATTTACCATAACAGTAGGGAAAAGGTCAAAAAATTGAAAGAACATGTTTAATTGACAGAGCACAATACTTAAAACCGGTTGACAGTCTATTGTCTGCAAGTTCTTACATTTACAATACGGCATTATTTTGTCTACAAGACAATTGCATCCAATTACTTGCAGCTGCAAGATGGCCATGTTTCATTGATTCTGAAGTGCAAGGTTATCCAACCTAAACAAATGAAATATTCCATGTCCCATTCCTAACCTATTATTTGGTTTTTGTTTTTTAAAAAACTAGTTTCAATCGGCGACCATCCAACGCCATAACACGATCAAACCTATATTTGTAAACAAATGTAACCACACAAACCACCGGACCGATCTAGGGACATATGCATACATTGGTAACTTGTAAGTTACTAAATATTCTACCAGAATTCCAGAGAAACTTTCATGAAAAATCCAACGCAAGACTTGCCAGATGCAAATAAATCTACAGGAAGAGTCGGCTGTTTTGTTACTACGCATGCGTCTGATCCACATTTCACTTGTATCTTGCTGACTGTATAACGGGTATAAATGACAGATTTTTTTAACAAATTCAGGATGAACTAGGGCATGTTTCAAACGCGGAAACTACGCGAAGTTTATATAAAGAAAACGCTATGACGATATGTTGTTCATGATCCTGGTGCCTTCTCATAAGCTGGTCATAAACATATCTAATAAGAATGTTTTCAAAGCAATTGCTGTTTTCTACATGTTTATAACCATCGTTTTGAATCATTAAAATGCAGCTCATCCACATACATATATTAATTTCATCCTCGTTAATTCGAGTTCATTCACTAGCACGTCGATGGTATCCACCCACTCTACCGCCTCGACGGACTCCTTGAAAGCGTCCGCTGTGGCTAAGGCGAAGTCCCAGTTGATTGCGTCGCCATCGGCGTCACCAACTCCTGGTAGCACGACGGCGCCGACTACTACGGCCACGGCGGCCACCAACCAGGAGTTGATAGTGGAAAAGGCCAAGCAGGAGGCGTACGTCGTCCAGAGGATCTCCGATTTGCAAAAGGAGGGGCTATGGGCTGAACGGCGGCTTCCGAAGGTAGGTATATCATATTAATTTACAGGAGAACAGTAGAGATCGAGCGATACCAATAGGTTATGTGGACAGTATCAGCTTATTTTGCCGTATATGAATCTGTCGTTGACTGCCTGTAATCCGATATGGACGGACTGTTACAAATCATAAAATTAATAAAGTTTAAAATTATTGAATTGAGAAAAACCAACATAAACACATCTTTTCATTAATTTTATCATTGCAACCTTTCCTATTTCGCCAACGATTGTCAGTCAGTCTTTTGATCGAAAAGTTTGTCGAAATGAGAGTACGAAAATGCCGTAGTGATGCACTGAGTACTCGGTTTAAAAACCGGTTTCGCCGAGTGTTGAAATACTCGGTTTGAACAACTCTTGTAGATCAAAAAATTGTAGACATGATATACAATTTCTGGGCTCATGTATCTTTCTCAAACCTTTTTGATACGTTCTCACAGAGATTAAAGTAGATTTGGATAGTTTTTTTCTGTAAATATTGATAGGCCTTCTCTATTCAGTTGTATGTTTACAGTATTTGTGCAGCTTATTGTTTATAGACAAGATGTTACTACATATTTTTATAAAAAATACGGTACTTCATGGAGCAGCTACTATATTAGTTAAACTGCAACCACATTCTACTATTCACTTTTTTATACTTACCTATATCGAGTATCCCATGGAACTCTTTACTCATAGGTGAGTATAATTTAGTTTCAGTCCTTTCCGTATCTGAATTGACCCCGCCACTTCATTAAGTAGTTTTGCTTTTCTTTTGTAATTGTCAGAAACCTGTACTTAATTTCAGTGTTCGTGATGGCCATGACACGGCAGCAATTCTATTAGGCAATTTCTCAAAAATTAAACAGCTTGAGGCGTCGCGTTGCCTATCTTCATCAAAAATCTACGTTCATGATTAACTGTGGTGCGTTCTTTTTGTTGAAAAAGCAAATCAAATTTGAGAAGACCTTTCAAAAACGCAAGTAATACCACTAACAGATGAAATAACCCACAGCGAATCACTACTAGGTATTCGAATCTGACTGAATACCTCGGTACGCGGCCTTTTGAAAAAATTAGTACTTTGTGCGTCCGTCAATGTCGCATCACGTTAATAAGCATAAGCATACGGTTGGTATATTTTTGATTTATTCCGCAGAATGTTTGTCATTTGAGGTGGGATTTCAAAATAAGTTGCTCATTGACATTGTCACGGTTTCTCTAGATTTTTGCACAGGTGAATGGTTTTTAATTTTGATTAAAACATGTATATGTCTCACATTACTATTGTCAAATCAACTTTCTATATCCAAGGTAGTTGACTTGTTTTTTGTTTAACTACAATGAATAGAAAGGAGATTGAAAATGTAACAATACCAAACAGACTTAGCAATTCAATAGCTAGTTTGTATGCACGTTACATACATTCACAAAAAATTGTATTCCAAAAGAAATTGTTGAATTTGCATTTTTGAATGTTTGTTATCCTAAAATTTCTCACATCAGCAATATTACAATTGCACTTTCATATACAGATTCAGGAAATGCCGCGGAATAAGGCACACTGGGACTTTCTTCTTGAGGAAATGCATTGGTTGGCGGCCGATTTCGCTCAGGAGCGTAAGTGGAAGAAAGCTGCTGCCAAAAAATGCGCTAGGATGGTACAGAAATATTTCCAGGTAAATATAATGTTTAATAATGTAGCATCTGAAATCTATTCTGGCCATTAACTGACAGGACTATTAGAGCCGTTTCAAATGTAGCCGGCGGTCAGTGCTGACCGTCAGCACCTATGCTATCGCGTTTTCACATGCTGCATATGATCAGTTGTTCAATATGTATGTGCGAAACAACATCGTGCGCGCCGTTGCGATTTATATTATTTTACGTAGAAGACGACAACAAAAACCGATGAAAAAGAGGTTGTGGGTACACCCCCTTGTACTAGAGCGAAACGTAGCAGGTGCATTCGTAACATTATACACCAGCCTCAGAGAAGATGAAAGAAAATTTTATAAATATTTTCGAATTTCAATAAAATCATTTGACGAACTGCATTCCAAATTAGAAAGTAACCTGAAATTTACTGACAAAATACGAGTTTCTATTTCTTGTACAATAAAAGTTATGCAATCTGATATCAACCAGTTTTGCTCACCTAAATCCTTATTTTCTTGCTCAGACATATTACCAAAATCTGCAATCACTATTTCAGCCACACGTTCAAAAGCAGCATATTTCTTATCACGGTTTTTATAAATCCTCCCCAAGAGAAATCCCAAATACATTTTTCTTCTTGTATTGCAGCTATTTTTAGTTGGTATCAATATAAATGTTATTACTTTTCCTATCACTCATTTTATACACTTTAGGCAAATACCAACACACCAATAAACAAACCAAATCAGGAAAACACTGCAACACCGCTCGCCGACCATCAGCTTGCATGTGAAATATACCAAATTTACAATAGTCCTACCTCGTGTTGATGGTGAGCATCAGCTCGGGCTCAGCTGTCGCCCGACGGACGATACGTGCCGAACGGATCATACGCTAGGCATGTGAAATGATTCATTTACGGTAATACATAATATATTCATCATCACTGACAGTCAGCGCTGAGAATCAGCTACATCTGAAACGGCTCTTAGGGCTCTCATTTCAACACGCTGTATTGTAGCGGCAAAATAAATGGTGTCATCTGAATACAGATAAATGTAAAATATAATCTCTGGACATATTCGACTAATCTTACTATAGGTGTTATTCAAGTTTAATGACGTCTTTTAGGCGAATGTCGCATGATTAGCATTTATTGATTATTCCGTTAGTTTCAGTGGATTTCTTTGTGACCATATGCATCAATAATAGGGAACATGCATGATGTTTTTTTTAATATCTTATTACGTTATTTACGTTAATACAATATAATCCCATATTTCATTTATGGACATGTTTATATCTTTTTAATTAAATATTTAAAACTACTATGTTAATAGTGTGACGTTCACGTATGGAACTGAATTTTTGATTAGATCCGATTGTTTGCGATTATATAATTTGAGTCTAATTTACGTCATTATTTTAAGGATAAAGCTCTTGCTGCCCAACGTGCTGAAAAGGCACAAGAACAGCACTTGCGACGTATGGCCGCATTTTGTGCGAGGGAAATCAAAATATTCTGGAGTAACGTTGAAAAGCTTGTTGAGTACAAGCAAAACACCATCCTGGAAGAGAAGAGGAAGAAAGCGCTCGACCAACAACTCAGCTTTATCGTCGATCAGACGGAGAAGTACTCACAGGTAATAATTTTTACTGTCAAATAATTTGTATGTTGAAGATTTATTTAGCATTAATGCCACAAAGTCAGTTTTGTATAATTATTCGCTTATTCATTTTTCTTCAATTCATTTTCTGTAATTTTACATTCTTATCTATTAAAATTAATCACTATGCATTTTGAGTATTCATAAAGTGATTTTTTAATTTCACCTCAAACATTTTTAAATTCGAACACTGTTTAATATCATTATTCAATTTATTAAATTCATATACTTCCTTTTGAAATGCAGATTTGCTAGTTATGCTGCGATTACAATTTTGCAGATGAGATTCTATACTGCCTCTAGTTTCGTCGTTATGATAGTGACTATTTAATTTTGTGAAGTTTTCTAAATGTGATGGTAATAAATGATTTTTTAATTTGAATATGAAAAGAAAGAACTAAATCACATGAAATTTTTCACATTCACCCGCTGTAGTTCTTCTAACTCAGACTTGATCCTAGCATATTTGTTTTTATTTAAAATGATTCTCATAGCTTTATTTTGTAGAATTTGTAATTTTTAAATCATGTTTTCATTTGCTGCAACAATATAAAAAATGGGGAAGAATTATAGTGTTATACACAATTTATTTGTAGCACATACTAATTTGTGGGTAACTCTGTAGAAGAAATGTATCTTTTTTGATATTTTTGAAATAATGTATTCATAATGCTCGTGAAACAGCAGTTAACTATCGACATATACAGGTATACCCAGATATTTAAACGATTCGACTACTTCAATGTTTTCATCATTATGAGCCTAATTGTAAATCACTTAAATGTTTCCCTATTGACATAAATTTTGTTTTATTAGTGTTTAATTTAAACAGATAGGAATTTTCTGACAGCTACGGGTGTGTCCTCATCACCAAAGACCCAAACTTTGTTTTGAGCCTTGGTCGGCACATCGTAATAATGGAGCCAAGTCTCGTCACCTGTCACAGTGCTGTTCACATACCGAGATTGCCCCTTTTCAAACATTTTCAGCATCTTTCGGCACCAACTCGTACGACGAGTCTTCTGCTCTCCCGTCAGACTATGCGGTACCCAGAGAGAACAAAGATTCTTTACGTGTAAATGGGCATGCAGAATTGAATTACATGCTGGTGCATAAGAGTCTAAGGTCTCCTCTATCTGTTTGTATGTCACTCTCCGGTCTTCGTCAAGCATTTTCCTTACAGCAGTAATGTTTTCCTCTGTTACTGATGTTTGAGGCCTTCCTTCCCTCTCAGCGTCCTCAAGAGTGAAATTGCCCCTTTGGAATTCCTTGTACCACCTGAATATAGTCGTACGATGAGGACAATCATTCTTTAATGCAAGCATCATTTCTTCTAAGCACCAGTCTATGCTTAAACCACGCGTAAAGTTATACCGTAAAACTGCCTTCATTTCACTACGTGAGCACGATGCCATAGTCCGCACTTTACACTGTCAATACGAATGAACAACTAAATCAACAGACGTGCTGCTGGCAGATAATGCACTCATGGACATGTCTCAACATGCAGTAACATCCAGTTTTTTTACTTCTATTTACTAAACAATTTTGTAAAATGCTTAAGACCATAGTGATGCAATTTCATTCACAATGATTCACCAATAATAAATAATTTCTCCAATGATATTGAAACAATCATTCAGAATCTTTTTTGAGAGATTCTCACTTGGATTTTTATTAGATTTCAATTCTGAGATAGCTTTTCTTAGATTGTAGACGTTAGTTGTCCTAAATTGATTCATTGGTGAATTATGATACAGTTGTAATGAACATAAGTTTGGATCACTGTCATCAATAGTCTTCACTATTTGTTTTGCACTGTCTATAAAATAAGTGTTCATTCTTTGTGCTATAATATTTTTTCCGTCACTACCCCATCGTCGAAATGCATTTTAGATAATTCATTCTTTCTATTTGGAGAAAAAATATTCTTTAATGTTTTCCACATCATTTTAGAATTATCTTTATTGCTGTCTATCTTCTTATCATAGTATTTTTCCTTTTCCCTTCTGAGAACTGCTACACACTCATTTCTTGTTTTTGTATATTGTTTCCTATCATTTTCACTTTTGGGTTACTAAAAATTTTCTGTAGTCATCATGTTTTAATTTAGACTCCTTGAATATCTGTGAAAACCAGAGTGTAGGGTTCACTCTTTCATATACTATTTTCTTGACCATAGTTTCACTCATATATTTATCCATAATTTGATCGAAGTAGTCGACATTATTGATAATTTCAGATATATTGTGTTGAAAAGTGGTTCTCATAACTTTGTGATATCAATTACTGTAATTTCTTTCATTTTATTTCCATTGAACATATTTTCCACTTCGAAATATATCCATGAGTGATCACTATTTTCGGGGGATGCTCAACTTCAGCAATTAGATTCTGTTCATTATTTATGAGCAAATCTAATTTTGTTTTCCTAATCCTTGTATAGTCACTTATTTTCTGCCATAATCCATGGAAGTTTAGTGCTTGTTTAAATTTTCTAACATAGAAATCTTTACTGTTAAAATTTATATTGAAGTCTCCTAAATGTACATTTGTGCAATTCCTGTAATGTTGTTCACATAATATACTTTCAAAAAATTCAACAAATCGATTGACGCATCTACTTTGAGGTCGGTAGTAAATAAAGAGACTGTAATTTTTTTGTATCCTTATTTGTTGATGTACCACCATTGATATTCAACAACTCCAATGTTCTGTACTTATATATCAATATACCACCTGTATGCTTCGAAACAGAGGTAACTCTTACAACTTGATAGCCGTGAATAACGATCAATCCCTCCTCAATATCTTCTGTTATATGTGTTTCTGTTAAAGTATTAATGGTTTCTCTAATACCAAGAAATTTAAAATCTTGTACTAGAAATTTAAAACCTTGTATTATTCTACATATTTTGTTGAAGAGTGAGTGGTTTGTGTCAAAATTTGTATTATACCTCAAATTTTATTCCTTGCAGTTTGGATAATTCACCTCATTTCTTGGTGTTTCACAGGTTTGAGACTGATGGTCACTCTCACCACATTATATGCAAACACTCTTCTTTGTACAGTTTTTTGCTGTATGGTGGAATCCTGAGCAGTTAAGCACCTCAGGAGATCATAATGCTCGAACACTGTACACACACATCCATTAATACAAACAGTAAACCTTTTTTCATAATTATTTTAAATGTTTGCTCATCTAAAGCCAGAATTGCGTGATATCTGTATTTCATTTTTTTAATTGGCACTACGTTTACCATCGAATCACTGCTTATAATATTGTTTCTTTCTTTCAAGTCTCTAATCATCTCTTCTTTATCGAATTCCTCTCTGAAGCCTACATGTTTTTCTACTACATTCAATTTTCACTGCCCCATCTTTCTGATCGCTAATTTTTTTTTATAGAGACATTTATTTTTGAAGGATTTATATATTTGCAGAGTACCTTTTTTGTGTGTAAACATTTTTGATTTTTATCGTTTGGTTTTATTATAACTGTCTTTTCTAGTTGTTCTGTAGAAGTAACCAAATTTCTATTAATGTTTGTATCTTTGACTGTTACTCGGTGTTCTGCATGTGTTTCTGTTTTATTGTTGTTAGATAGAGTGGGAACTTCAGTAATGTTAGTGTCTTTATCTAGATTTACTACTTTTTTTGTAATTCGTCTAATTTCGCTTGCAATTTTGCTTTCTTTTTTTTTGCAGCACTTTCATCAACAAATCTTGTATGTGAATTGTATAATCCTTCATTTTTATCACATCTTCCACTTGAAATCTCTTTTCATTTTCGGTATTTCGTGTGTTTCTTTTTGCTTTCGTTCAGCGTAGCTTTTTTAATGTAGAGAACTGGGTCACCAGTGACAAAAAATTGTCAGTTATGTCACTGATCTTCTTCGAACCGCGGATCTTCGAGAAAGGGCCCTGGATCAGCAGCCTTCAGTTTAGAACATTCCCCAATAATCTCCAACTATTCTAAAAAAGATGCCAATATAAAAAATTCTGCCTCAAAACCACCTAACTCTTTTCTTATACCAGGAGCAATTTCAATTCAATGAACTATACCGAGCGTATCCACATAACACCTACTTTATAAGGGAATCTGTAATGCTGAGGTTAGCACTCAGTTTGTAGCGCCATCCCTGGGATATACTCCGAACTTTTTGTAGAACCTATACGAACTGTTATAGAACCCTTTAAAAATATAGAATTCCTAGCGCCATCTTGGACTTCCCTCTTACACTGAGTAGCCAAATTTGAATTAAATATTCAAATTATATACAAGATATTTTAAGTAAAATAAGGCTCAACCTGATTTTATTTTTAAAATGTGTATTTTTTAATACAATACGTGAACATAACAGTTATGCAAGTTGTTAGTAATCTAAAAATAGTAGTTATTATCTATGTACCATGTATATTTACAATTATCAATTTCTCTACTCCCTTCATGAGCTTCGGGACTACTCTGAACATTTTCCAAAACCATACCTCAAAAGAGAATGAGGAAGTTTCCTATTTTTCAAAATACACTCAGAATGATAGTCTAAGTAAAATGAAGTACAGAGCTGAAATTTTTTTTTGAATATCTTGAAAAATAACAAATTTACGCTAGTCAGAAGTTTATTATTTGGAGAATCGTGTGGTGGGCCGGGCGAGTGAGTGATGACGTCACATGGCGGAAGCTCATCAGCCTAGCACCACTGCAAGGAGATGCGCCCGCCGCGCCGCGCCACAAACGCTTCCCCCTATTATTAACAATTAGTAAAAAGTGGATCAAACCTTCAACCTTCAAATATTTTATTGTACCTGGGTGTACAAATACTAGCATATCAGCTTCAGATGAACATTTTTTCTGTGTGCCAAAACAGGGAAGGATTAGAAAGAAGTGGTGCAAGGTAATGAATGGAGACGATAAATTGCCGCTCTCGGAAAAATCAACGTTTTGCTGTAAATCCCATTTTGATGTAAGCAGCTATTTAGCTAATTATTATTAGTCAGTATGTGTGAATCGCATGATAAGGTAAAGAATCTAAATGGTTTAAAGGAGAACAGAAATAGATTTGATTATTGCTTTCATTTCAAGATAATGTGAGTATTTGTATAGTGACGATCTTGTGGCTGTAGGGGCAACGCTGTTCAAACCTTGTTTGCGCCGACGCGGCGATGCATAGGCGTCGGTCAAGTGTGGGCTTAATGTGTAATCGTCTGAGAGGCTTCTATGAATTTTAGATTACTGCCAATAGTAGATAATCTGGCATTTGTCCAGTAGCACTTCACGAAAGTGTGTGGTGGTTCTTCGCTTCTTCTGTGTAGCCACATTCAATAGCGCTACACCATGCTTACAGCCACCCTCTCGTGCAGCATAACCACTGCATTCTTACTGTTTCCTCCTTTTCGACGCATTCAAAACTGCAATGATACTGTTTGCTTTAATGTTCTGGCGTAATCCTGGCTTTTACAATATCCCGTTCTCTTTTTAACTGCACATAACCAATCGCCTCGTCTCCATAGGGGTCTCTTCCAGATCTATACTGACAACAGCCAAATAACAATACCTAAAAATGAATGACGAATCATTGATTCTACTCCTGGTTAACAAATGGACATCGTGAAGGGTTACGAAAGAGTTATTAAAATGCTGTGATATTGAAAAAATATCTCATGGAAAACCAGAATTCATAGTAGTGAAATTTTGTATAAAAATGTGTAGGTCTTGAAGACATAATATATACTAAGTGACAAATAAATCCGAACACCCAGTTTAAATGGTTTTATTTTAATAAAATTTTGTATAAGTACTTAATGAAGCATAATAAGTAAATGATAAAAATTTCAAAATAATGCACTGCTTTAAAGCCCTTTGACCTTTAATAATGTGTGGATGCACCCTGATGTGCTACGCATTCTCCAACGCGCCTAGGCATGCTTCTGATCAGGTGGTCAATGTCCTCCTTGGTATCTCATTCCAGGCAACCACCAACTCCTCTCGAAGTGCTTCTAGAGTCTGAGGAGGACGTTGCAAATTGAGCAATCTCCTACCCATCATGTCCCACACGTGCTCAATTGGGGATAAGTCGGGAGATCTTGGTGGCCATGGTAACAATGTGACATCATTATGTTGAAAGAAGTCTATTGTGACTCTTGCAACATGTGGTCGGGCATTATCTTGTTGGAAAGTTGGATCTGCCAGGGTGTCAAGATAGGGTAAAAGATGGGGTTCTAGAACTTCGTGGATATAACGCTGCGCGTTCATGTTAACCCTGATGAAGATTAAAGGTGACCTGGAACCAGAAGCTATAGCACCCCAAACCATAACTCCAACAGTGTGATGAACATGTCTTTCAACAAAAAACTGTGAATCCCTCCTTTCACCACGTCGCCTTCTAACCCTGGCACGACCATCGTGCATGCCTAAACAAAATCGAGACTCGTCACTAAAGACAATACTGTTCCATTCCTGATCCCAGAGTGACCGTTGTCTGCACCACTCAAGGCGATTACGTCGGTGTTCTCGAGTTAAAGGGAGGACCCAGTGTGGCCGGTATGAAAACAAGCCAAAACTTCTCATTCGTCGGTAAACACTTCGCATGCCAATAGGTCTTCCGTGTTCTGCAAACCATTCATTTGCAATGGACCTGGTAGTGGAGAAACGGTCCCTTAAGGCCAATAATCTTAGGCGGCGATCTTCACGGTCTGTTGTACTACGGCGGCGTCCAGTGCCCCTTGCTCTTTGCGTACGGCCTTTTCGAAGCCATGCCTGACAACACCTAACCACAGTGTCTACACTTCTTTGCACTCTAACTGCAATTGCCCGAAAAGAAGGTCCAGCTTCCCGAAGTCCCACTATACGGCCCCTATCAAACTCACTAAGTTTACGAAATCGTACAGGTCTCCGTACTCTAGGCATCGTAACCGATCGTAAAGGATGTCAAGAACCAAAATCCGCCAACGTTGATTCTTTACTGCGGCTGAAATATTCATTTTTAGAGCGTTAGTGAATTAAAAAAAAGCAGTATAAAAACCGGAATGTCCAACTGATAAGGCTGAAAATTGTTTCACTTGTTATTTACAGTAAGATAAATACATGCACCAACTTTTATTAAAATAAAACCATTTAAACTGGGTGTTCGGATTTATATGTCACTTAGTATATTTTGTGATATACTGTGTAATATGGATATTGTAGCATTAATACTAAATAAATCTGAAACAAACAAACACCGGACGGCCAACAAGTCTTATTGGTGTTGGATTAAATTTCAGTTGATTTTCTGGTCACTGCGCGATATTGAGTTTATTATTAATTTATCAAGCGGATTCGTTGGAGTTTGGGTCATCCTAAATTATTTGATGCATGCAAAGCATGTTTTCGTTTTCTTCCATTTATAATATTAATAAAGACAAATAAGATCATCCATAATACCCCGGCACTGACACCACGCGTCCTTCGTGAAGTTGCTGACTCAAAAGACTTTTATAAGTCCACAGTATGGTACAGTCGCAGAATAAGGGTTGAAAAAGTGGGTTCACGTTATCAGAGTTGTATAGAATAAATCATACTATTTACTTACGTATTTCCGTACTGACATAAAGTGACTATTTACTTACGTATTTCCGTACTGACATAAAGTGAATTGTTTGTGAAGAAATTCACTACCATTATTATGTCTACCTTCAAAAGATTTGTGGAATCGGCACGCAAAAAACCTTTTTCCATTTTAACTATTATGTACTACCATACAACAGACTACGCCAAGATTCAAACAATAAATTACGTCTTTTCAGCTTGAGCGCTAAGGATATATGCGATATGCCGTCTTGTGGTCCGATCGCTTTACTACGACGTGCGACGTTCCATCATGTGACGTCACTACCGAACCTCGACGCGCGAGGCCGATCGGCTACAGCAGCCAACATAGAAAATGTCATAACTTTCTTAAATTTAAAGTTATTGGAATAATTCTTTCAGATTTGTCAAAGATACTAGTTATATTATGAGATGCAAGTAACACAGGCAGTATTTTCGACCAGAGGGAACTTCCTAATTGAATTTCATTATGTTTATGCTAGGTAGATTTTTTCCAAAAATTATGCAAACCGTAAATACTGTGAAAGTTTTTAGGGCACCAAAATTTTTGAATCATTTAATCCTGCTTATTCACGGATTACACAGTGCTTGTACCTGGTTTATATATGTAATCAAAATGATTACTTACTTGAAGATTGAAGTTCAGGAAGATGTAATGTAGGAGAGAAGCTGTTCTTTTCAGACCTCTCTTGGTTCCAGGCACTTTATCACTTTATCAGAAAATGTAAGTCACACACCAAATGTCTTTTATAAATTTGTTCGTGACTTTCATTGTCCTAAACTGGATTTCGCACATGCTCGATCCATTTGTTAAAAGAGCGGCATCATATTTTGGAAATGTATCCCTTTTACTGACTGTATCAGTACAACCAGGTAATTCGCACTTTTTAGTAAATCTCCCCTTTCGATAAGCCTCCATTACAAAGATCAAGTTTGTAAATTAAAATTAACGCTCAATAGATATCAGTATTACCGACACAAAACTAATAAAAACGCCGGCGCCGCTCAAAATTCAACAATCAATTCAAAATTACGAATACATCAACGACAAAGCATTGAACATTGGACTGTCAAAAAGAACGACGGGAAAATCCAGCCTCAGCGCCACTCTGTGGTTGTACTCCGTACCAACTATATAAGATTTTTTGGTTGCTTACCAGACATACCTTCAAAGTCACTTATTTAACTTTCTTTTATAAAGTAGGTGTTACATGAGCGTATCTATTCGAATTTTGAATATTCTGAAATCTATGAAAATATTTTGCACCTTTACATGATTGATTGTTCACAGTCCCAGCCCTACATGATAAACAAATTCCAAGTCAGAGTGGCGTTATGTACTGTGGAAATCAAAAACCAGTGCTCGCTTTGTTTGCTAACTTTATATTGTAGTTACTATAATACAATGTGCTGCAACAAATACTTACTATGTAGCGAATCATATAATGCAAATATGTATTTTTTACTTGCGGACAATATTCGTTCCATTTATAAACAAATAATGTCTTCCGTGTTCATTTTGAAAATCAGTTTTTATTGGAGGGTTAGCTTTATCGGAAAATCCGTATGGTGCAGCAGACAGAGACATTATATGTATGATCCGTTCAACTGAAATCCAATCTAAAATATATACAAGTTATTTCTCTTGACTGATATATGAAATGGACTTTCACTTAATTGAAATATGAAATGGACAATTATATCCTGTTGCAGTTGCTGGCAGAAGGGATGAACAAGCAATCCTCCGTACAATCGTCGGATCAGCAACAAAAAGAACAGACAACGACGGCCAGCAATATGTCATCAAGGTGTCCGTCCAGGGTGCCATCGGACGTAGAGTTCGAACCTGATGACGATTCGGATGAGGAGGACGATGAAGAGACCATCGCGCAAGAGGAGGCAAATATGGATAAAGAAGGCAGAGATGCAGAGGTACTTATACAAATACAGTATTACATATTTTGTTAAATTAAAAGTACCGTTGAAATTATACCCTGCTCCTACAGAAAAGTGTTAAATAGTCTATACTAATTTATTTATGGGACTCGGAACAACCATTGTCTATATCTAAGCACATAGGCTTTAGTGTGAGTCTTTGCTTAATACTCGTCATTTGTTTATCTGTGCGGTCGGTAGGACCTTTGCCCATTAGTCACTGTCTAGTGTACGTTAGTCGAATCTGTCAGTCCTAGTTGCCCAGAAACCAGACAGTGTCAAGGAAAAAGAGAAAGGCAAAAATAAGAAAAAAGAAGAGCAAAGAAAAACAAAAGTTATTAGTTTAAGAGGAAACACCTGGGCTTTTTGACTTGGTACACGAATTAATTTTGAGGTGAACTAAAAACAAATTTTGATTCGGGTTTTGTTAGAGTGTAATTTTGAGTTTACTAAAAGTTCGCGTTAATTTTTGATCACAATGCGAGCCGTGGCCTTACGAACTTGCTCCATTGTGTAGTCCACTGAGTCACGCAACAAAGGGTTGCTTTGCAATTCCGCTTAACTATAAGGTCGCTGCGCCTGAAGCTTGGCATAATCCCTCAAGTAAGGAATGTCAAGGTCTCTGTAGTGTCTCATTTGAGACATACCATGGAGGGTTTCAAATTGTTCGCAAAGTACTGCAAGAAAACACCAAGCCACACATGCATAAGTAATGGCTGGTCTAGTAATCATTTTATCTATCTACATAAAAAAGGATATACAAGGTGGGCCATTTAAAGTGGAAGCATCAAGCAACCCTATATCTTTGACATTAGTTGTCAGATCGACTAATGTCATACCGCGTTGGAAGCGTCATTTCAGTACAATTTTAACCATGGAACAGTACACACCAAAACAACGCGTTCAAGTTATCCAGTTGTCCATTCAAAATAACTTCTCAATCGTGAAAACTAAACGTGTTTCGGAAAAAAATAAAGTTAAAAGTGCTCCAGCTGTTAACACTATCAGACGTTTATACGCAAAATTTGTGAACACCGGTAGTCTTAGTAATGCCAGTCACCTATCCAGACAACGATCAAGACGTTCCGATGAAAATATCGAAGCTGTACGCGCCAGTGTTGAAGAGACTCCATCAACATCCGGTCGTCATCTTTCTCAAGAGTTAGGCATCGCTCGAACCACTCTCCGACGCATAATTCGTAAGGATTTGAAGATGTTTCCATACAAAATTCAAATGACTCATCAATTAAACCCAGCTGATTATCCGTGTCGCTTTGATTTTGCTTAAATGGGGCATGGAAATGGCCGAAAATGAAGATGGCTTTTGGCGAAAAATCATCCTGTCCGACGAGGCACATTTTTCGTTACATGGAGGAGTAAGTAAACAAAATTGTCGATTTTATGCTACCGAAAACCCTCAATTAATCGAACAGCAGCCTATTTATGACCAAAAAGTTACTGTTTGGTACGGTATGTGCGCGACTATGGTCATCGGGCCGTATTTTTTTGAGGACGATGATGGAGCTGCGGTAACCGTCAATGGTGAGCGTTATCGAGCCATGATAACGAATGTTTTGAGTCCAATTGTTTGTGAAAATGACATGGACGATTACTGGTTCCAGCAGGCCGGCATCACATGCCACACAGCTCAAGCAACAATCAATTTATTGCTACCATTGTTCCCAGGACGACTGATATCGAAAAATGGCGATTTTGACTGGCCACCGGGATCACCTGATTTGACGCCACCAGGCTTTTATTTGTGGGGCTATTTGAAATCCAAGGTATACTCTAACAAGCCAAGGACAATATTCAAGAATTTGCCGCCATATCCGCCGAAACATTGGCCAACGTGATGGAAAACGCCGAAAAAAGGGCACATTTGGTTATCAAGGCCAGTGGTGGTCATTTGCGCGATATCATTTTTGAAAAGTAATTACAACAAATCTCCTTGGATCAAAACAGACTATTCAAATGAAATGTTTTTTAATGTATTTTTTATAAACAAATGCTTCCACTTTAAATGGCTCACCCTGTAGTTGCCGTAACGCAATTTGGAATTTTGTTTTCAAGGCTGCTGCAGGTTTCTGCCAGGTCATGCCTCTATCAAGGGTAACACCGAGATAATTGGCAGAATTTGCCCTTTGTACACGATTTCCGTCTACAGAAATGTTTACTGGGGGGGCTGCGACGTTTTTTGGTACAATAAACACCGGCCCGTACCGTTACCACCGAGAGTACAAGGCCTGACAACAGACGCGTGACGTCACCACGAGTAGGCCGGTCGGCCGGCCGACAGCACGGCGTGTACATCAGCGCTAGTGAATAAATAATATGTTATTGTAGCATATTTAATATACTCTACCTGATGTAAATAACAGATAATTCAGAAAAGTGTTTTTGGTATATGAAGGCAACTTGGTGGAAAATATTAACGTAGTTATTAACTATTTTCACCCTGATTTTCCCTGATATTTCATCCAACATTACGTGCACATTAGATTAATAAGTTGATGTTATAAAAGCTTGCTAAAAATGATAAATTCTTCAATGAATAACCCCATGTTAGTCACAACCGATCAACAAAATTTCACAGGAATATGTGGACAATTTAACTATTATTATAGGTATAATATAATGGTACTTGAAAATTATATAAAAAATGTGGTGCTCGTAGAACAGTTGTGTCCAGAAAGAACCAACGAGGAGGTCTGAGGTAAGCTGTTGCCAGGAAAGGGATAAGGAAGATGAGGAGGAAAAAGTGTAGGATAAATGATTAGAAAAAACAGATAAAATCAAAGTAAAATAAACAACAGAAAAAACATAACAAAGATTAACGAAAACTTAATAAAAACTCTTAGAACAAACAAATAACAGCACAAAATAATAAAAATTAGAAAACAAGTATCAAAAATTAGAATAACGAAAATTAAAGTGCTAAATTCTGAATATGTACAAATAAACATTTATCTACAGCTATGTAAATGTTGCGGCCTCATGTGAATGTAGTCAATTTACGTTTCTTTGCTTTATTCGCGATTGCAAAGCGGTCGTTCCTTTTGGCACAATAATTTTTCAAAAATGTATTGACTGTGCAAATAACAATTAGTTTTATAACATAATCTGGTGAATGGACTGTGCAACGCGAAAATGAAGTGTCGTGATTATTATCACTCAGATTGTTAATTATCAACTGCGAAAGAGCGAGTCTCTTATCAGTGATTTCTCTCATTTCTAAAAATGATTCCTAGTCACTTTCCAAAACTTTATTGAAAATTATATAAAGCATGACAATATTAATAACTGGATCCTTTGAGAATTTTAAGCCACCTCTACTCAAATTCTGTATAATATTGTGCTTGTCTTCTATATCAATATCATGTGTGTCAAATTTTCCTTACAGTGATTTTTCTTTAATACGGCATAACAACAGTAACCAACTAAGTAGGTGATGACGGGGATTTCATCCTTTATACTATCAATATCAGACTGTAAAATTTCAATTTCAAAGTGGTAATCATTAAAATTGTGTGGAATTTCATCTATAGTCAACGCCAAACAAAGTGGCGTGCACGTCATCACGATAAAAATTCCCCGACCTAATGCCTAGGTTTCTATCACAAACAACTGCTCTATTGCAGTTTCATATTAATGTGATATACAAATTGTAAAATGGTCATTACTCTCTTATTATGGTTAATAGTCATATAAACATTGTTATTAAAATATCACATAAGTTGCTTTCTGATAAATTTAGACGCATTATGCGAAATAAAATGTTTTGCAAACGCTCCAATCACTTATCGACATGTAAACGCACTAAACCGATTTCGCAGCGTTGACACATTGTCACCTTGAAACTTATTTAAACTGGGAACTGACATTTGTATTAATTTTGACACTGAATCAATTTGTGGCATTTCAAATCTTTATAAATCCTTTGGCCCCGCATACTGTAAATCAACAACTGTTTGTTTCAAAACAAAATTATTCATTTTACGAGTAGATAAAGGCAATTTTGGTATATAAAGATGCCCAAACAGTTAAATAGTCGGTGTAAGGAACTCGTGGCCTCGTTAATGCACTACTTTGAGCAAGAAAGGGACAACAACGGGCCTTTGTTGCCTTTAAATGCTGTTCAAGAGGTAGGTTACTAATAATTATATGTAATGTATATTAATAATAGTGAAATTTTATTTCATTTTTTGTAGCGTGTTGCTGCTGCTTTAAAAATTAGTTTAAGGACAGTTAGTCGTATTTCCGAGGGTGAGAAAAGTGATGCAAATTTAGAATCGCCCAAGAAAAAGCGGAGTTATATTAAACGTGTAACCAACACAGCGACATTGGATACAAGTGCCATTCGAGAAGTGATCTATAATATGTATCACAAAAGTAAGATCTTATTATAATAACTTATCAGAAATTTGCATTAATTTGTTAACTAAATTATAATGTCATATTACACATGGTTTCAGAAGAACAAGTTACGATACAAACTTTATGGTCTCGATTAAGAGATAGGGCATTATTTGATGGTAGTGCCACGTCTTTAAGGCGGTTGCTTAGAGATCTTGGATTTAAGTGGCTTAAGGACAATCCGCGGCGAGGGCTCATGGAACTACCAAGTATAGCTTTGAAAAGGGTGGAATTTCTAAGGCAATACAATCAAGCCAAGGTTGAGACCTTATACCAGTTTGTCTTCCTCGATGAAACTTGGATATTTCAAAATGGGACCATAGGTCGCTCTTGGCAAAATGGAAACCAAAAAAGCGTGAAAGCTATTAAAACAGATGGTAAAAGGTATGTACTATTACACAATTTGCACTATAAAATTTAAAACTAATATATTTTAGATACATTATATTACATGGTGGAAATGAAAATGGGTTTATTGAGGGTAGTGAAGCGATATTTTCTTCGAAAACAAAATTGAGCGATTACCATGGAGAGATGAACCAGGACAATTTTTTGAAGTGGTTTCAACATCAGTTATTAGA